AAAAAAAAAAAAACTTTGGGTGTATCGATGCAAACTCACCTGCCTGCGGATCGCTGTAGTCCACAGTGTAGCCATCCAGCTGCAGAAGCTCTTGTGGTTCGGACTTCTTCTCTCTGTAGCTGCACATGGCGAATGTGTACTGACTCACCTACGGGAATCGAGTGCGAGACGTCACTTCAATCATACACAAACGTACGGTTCAATTCACACGTGGACAAACGATTCTGGGCGACAAATGGATTGATTATTGATGGTGATTTCAATGCAAAAGTAAGTTAAGAGTTTCTCCTGAGCAATGCGTGAGTGAATACACACTCAGGCTTTTTAAAATATGAGCACAACTGCACACAAAAGATCAAATACATTTTATATGTAAATGTACTGTTTTGTCAGTTCTGAATTTAATAGGAAAGTTTGATGAATTTGAATTAAATACGCCAACAAAAATGAACTGTCAATAATTATACCTATAATGTGTGCCCGATTGAGTTTAAAAAAAAAAAGTGAAGTCATTGAAATTAGTTTTCAGTGATTTTGAGTCAGTACGATAATGTAAGTACTTAATATTTAGAGCAGGAGAACATTTTAGAATTTTAGTTAGATTTTTTTTGCAACTGTATTTTACTGCATAAGAGACCTCTCAATTATATTTGTGATCTTTGTTGTCTTTGTAAAGACAAAAAAAAAAAAAAAACAAATGCAGGTGCAATGCAGGTTCATCTCAATAAATTAGGATATCATATTTATTTCAGTATTTCAATTAAAAAAGTAAATTTCATAAACAGATTAACTACACACAAAATGATAGCTCAAGATTGCATTGATTAAAAAGATACTTTCATTTGACTACAGTTATATCTCAAGAAAACAGGTTATACATTAAGAAAAATCAATATTTTTTTAAATAGACTGTGAACTAATTTTACAGGACTTAGATTGCAATATTTTTTATTATATACTTCATAAAATGTGTGGTGAAAATGTTATTCACAAGAAACAGTTTGAATTTTATGACACAAATACAGTATAAAAATTAGATTTTATTTTTTTTTGTATTCCATGAAAAATTTGGATGGGTTAAAAAGTCAGAATTTTATTTATTTAAAAAAAAAATCACGTTGTGGCCAAGGGTAAAAAAATCTACATGAAAAACTCACTTGCACAAGAACAAAGAAACGTTTCTTCCAGCGCTTCCAGACATTCTTCCCAAAAGCCCACAGATACCTGCCAAAACATTCAGCACACACAAAGATACTCAAGCAAAAGAAGAGCCTCATTAAAGTTATGGTGCTGGCCTTGCAGCACATGACACATTTGCGGCCTACATGCAAGTGAAAAAAAATCATTCTGGTGTCCACTAGAGGGTGTTGCGTACTTCCCAGTATTTTTCCCCTGCTGACAAGAAACGAGGCCAAAGAGCTAAGAAGCCTCGCAAAAAAGGCAGTGAAAACCCACCGGCCGACAGCCACCCTGCTGCTTACTTACCCGCAGTGTTTCATGTTTTGGGGTTTGTCCATGCGAATGGCCAGTTTGATCCTGAGGTCTTGGTCGGGGCAAGCCTTGGTCAAGGTCATCTTATGGAGTTCAGACTGCTTGGGGCTGTTCGGAGTCGGGTGGAGGACAACCTACATATCAAGCAAATCAAAAAAAACCAAAAGGTGAAAAAAACTTTCTGGGTTTGTTTGTTTTCGGGTTGCTCATGGAGCCAGCGATGCATTCGACTTGTTCTTCGAGTGAAAGAATAAAAAAGGGAATGGAAGCAGACAAACGGGCCAAGGCTTCGCGCCGCCGCTGTCTAATCTCTCTTTGGTGCATTAGAGAGCTTTGAGGAAGTCTCACTTCCTGCCAGTGCTGCTGCAGTGGGAGATCACAAGGCCTTGTAACAGCCAAGGTCACCTCTACTTCTGGGACCGTAGAAGTGATTGCCAATATATCACCACATTGCTACCTTCCCCAAAGGACAACTACATACTAATTTATCCTTCAACGATAGGTAGAGTGGCTGGAAAAGAAGCACAAGAGCATCTGTGTGTGTTATTGATAGGGTGACCTTGGACAACCTACTTTACTGGTCGAAAGGACTTATTGGTGCCTTTTGGAGCCTTGTGCAAACTGGACCGTACATTTAAAGGATCCAATTTTCATTCATTCATTCATTTTCCGATCCGTTTATCTTCACGCGGAGGGTACTGGAGCCTTTCCCAGCTGTCTTTGGGCAGTAGGCAGAAAGCCCTGAAACGGTTGCCAGCCAATCGCAGGTCACACAGAGACCAACAACCATCCGCGCTCACACTCACGCCTACTGACAATTTAGAGTGTTCAATCAGCCTGCCATGCATGTTTTTGGAATGTGGGAGGAACCCGGAGAAAACCCACACAGGCCCGGGGAGAACATGCAAACTCCACACAGGAAGGCCGGAGCCGGAACCGAACCCTGCACCCCTACTGTGCGGTCAACACACTAACCACGGGACCACCGGGCCGCCCGGATCCAATATTAAGCCAATATTAATATTATTTATTTTTTATTTTTTGCAAAGTGCAAACATCTTGTGGCTTCTTGATTTCAGAAAGACGATGAGCACTGTTCATTTGTATTTTGGCTCGAGGGTAAACAACACCGAAAATTTGCTCGCATACCAGTCACTAAGTGAGAAGCTAACCTCTGAAGTCGGCAAGGTTCTTTAGTATATCGCGGAAGGTAGTCACCTCATCGACAAGGTGCCTACCACCAACAGGGGTCACTAGAATCACACGAGTCGCCTGCGAGCCTGTTCTAAAAAATAGCTCGCCAGTGATGGGACATCATGATTTCATAGGAATGCTTTGATCATTCGAACATATAATATGGTAATATTAAGCTTTTTTTTTCTTGAAAATAGGCAACTTTTGAATACCTACGGCATTTAGGAGAACACACGTTAGGCACGTTTAATTGGTGTTAAAAGGGCATCATTGGGAGAAAAACAAAATCACCTGACTATTGTCTCTGAATTTTAAAAAGTCTGAGGACCTCAAATATAGTTTGTGAAGCATGGCTGGGGAATGCATAGCGAGCTTTTCGGTTTCAGCAGTTGTAAAGATGACAACAACAACCAAAAAGAGCAGCCATCTAAATCTTTCCACATGATTTGAATGTTTTGTTTTGAGCCAGACCGATGCATTACCCTGCCCAGCTCTTTGTCCTCCAGTGCCAGCACGCCGGTGCTCTCGGTGAACAGTTTCACCTTGACAGCAGGCAGAGGGTGTGTGGTGGTGAAGTCCCCTTGGGTCCCCCAGCTGAAAGACACAACGCAGATGACTCCAGAGGTCAGTTTCCATGACATCCCACAACACTGAAGAATCCATCACCTTGGAACGTTATTTACTCCTTTATGGGAGAAGGTTTCACTTTTCATTCCGCTACCTTTTGTCAAATAAATCAAACAGGAAAGGGAGCTGCTTGGCAATCAAATTAATAAAAAGGTGCGCTCTATTTTTTTGACGCCGTAGCCATCAATCTGCGACATAATTGCACGATAAAAAATTTAAAAAGAGATCAGACAGCTTCATTGTTTATAGACACACACAGACCCTAATACTCCATCTCCCTGATGCTGCTGTTTATTCGCCAGACAGCTTAAAAGCTGAACTTGCCAAGATTTGACGATCACAATCACCGCCCACTTTGTCACACAAAGTGACTTAGTGGCTGTACAAGCGGAAGATGCCAAAGATGTGCGCAAATCAGCTCATCTCCATTTCGGTTTAAAGGGACAACAGATTATTGACACCCCATGCACATGTTTTAGTGGACAAGGCAAATGTCTAACATTTTGCTTTGGATGCTGTCACTTTTTTTTTTTTTTGCAAAGGTCTTGACCTTTTGGCTCAATCTAAGGTTCATTAATGGAAAACCTGCTCGCACAGGGTCTCTTTCTCCCGAAACGTAAAAACCACGCAACGCTCAAGACCAAGTAAGGGAAGAAAAGGCGTTCATTATGAGACAACAGGTGAACATTTTTGTACTTTCTCATTTAAAAAATAAAAAAAAACATCTTGGAAGTATCAGATTAGGCCACATTCAACTGACGTCTTCAAGAAGATATTGCAACTCATAATTTTCACTCAATTCGCTGAACTGTCAATCAAATACCGTTGCATCTTTCTCATGCCTAAACCTGACCACATCTTTTAGTAATAGCCACTAATATATCCGTGTAACACCACATCACTGGTCTGTTCCACACCGCGACAATGAGGCGCTCTAAAGCAGCCACGCCAGCACAAAGTACCTGTCAATATGCGAGAAAAAATAAATAAAAAAATCAACCCGGCTCATCCTGCTTTCCCATACATGCTAGCGAGCTAACTGCACATCGCAATCGTGCCGGATAATTTAGAGCTTCCCAAAGTGCATCATGCGGCGCTGTTTTGCTTACGTTGGCTTGGATGCTTCCGCTTGGTCAGTCTGGAGCTTCTCTCCTCCCTCCACTTCCATGGTGCAGTAGACAATCCTGTTGGGAGCCAGAGACTTCAGCCCCTGCACCTCCATGATCACCACCTGTGAGCACACATTCCATGTGACATGTTAAAAATCTTGCTGGTTTGTAACAGCTCTGAGATGATGATGTTCAAAATAGCAAGCGGCGACGTTAAAAGGGCGATCAGAGCCAAAAAGGCTTTCCAGATTTTAATCACACCACCTCCTGCCATCAAAGCATTCTCTTTGTTTAAACACTGTTTGGATGCAGTGCACATTCTAAGCCGGCCTGGCGACGGGAATTATGATTATGACCAAAATTTGGAATTTATGACCTCCTCCGGGGAGGTTTTCATTGTTGTATTTGTTTGTTTACGAGCAATATTATGCGCAAGCACAGAGCGAAAGTACACCTGAAACAAAGGAAAGAGTTATTGCGGCGAGAGACAGAAAGTGAGCGCGACAGGTCACCTGGGACAAACATGCACCAAGTAAAGAGTAAATAAAGACACTTGCCTCTCCGGCTGGAGTCATAAAGTCTTGTAAGTGTCACATTTCTCTTCCAACTGAAGTATTTACATCTAACAAGGAGGTTTGCTGTTAATTTGGCAAAACTAAATATAATTGTATTCTGTTGAACAATCAATTAAGCACATAATATCCAGTCGTTTGACATTCCGTTAACTTCTCAGTGAATAAAAATGAATCTTAAACGAGCTAGCCTGTTCACATCACAGTGCCGAGGTGTACTCCGGTTTCCTCCCACATTCCAAAAACATGCGTGGCAGTTTAATGGAACACATTAAAGTGTCCCTAGGTGTGATTGTGAGCGCAACTGGTTGTTTGTCTAATTTTCCGATCCGCTTTATCCTCACAAGGGTCGCGGGGCGTGCTGGAGCCGATCCCAGCTGTCTTCGGGCAGTAGGCGGGGGACACCCTGAACCGGTTGCCAGCCAATCGCAGGGCACACAGAGACGAACAACCATCCGCGCTCACACTCACACCTAGGGAAAAGTTCGAGTGTTCAATCAGCCTGCTATGTATGGTTTTGGAATGTGGGAGGAAACTGAAATACCCGGAGAAAACCCACATAGGCACGGGGAGAACATGCAAACTCCACACAGGAAGGCAGGAGCTGGGATCGAACCCACGACCTCTGCACTGTGAGGCGCTAACCACTGGATCACCGGGCCGCCCCACCTCTGTATACCCTTCCAAAAACATTCAACATAACCGCTACCTACAGTGCATTTTGTTGATTTGTCTTGAGCGACCGTGGAAATAAAATCAATCAATACAAATACAAGAGGCATGTCAAAAGGGTCATTTGACATCAAACCACATTTTAACCCGATGCGTTGAAAATGACAGACTTGAGGAGGTTGTAATCGTCTCAAAGTAGCCTGCTTTCATTTCTTGCAGAATTGATCACAACGATGCGCCTTCTTTGGCATTGAGCTGCAGACAAAAAGTACGGCATCTCACACATGGCGCACTCAGAGCGGAAATAGCTCGGCATCATGAGGACCGAGCTGTGCCGACTCCCTCTTCCGAGTCGGGAGTTCGGTCACAGACAAGCTGATAAGAAGATGACTCATACCTGCCGTTCAAGAGCAGGTAAAGGGGGATTTATGTCGAGTGTCAGCCTGTTATTCACGCGGCATCTGTTCAGCAGTCTGAAGAAGTCTGCTGTCTGTTTCTAAACTTAGCCTGAACGCAGATGAGGAGTCTTCATGGCTTCTGATTCAGACAGCTGCACTTCTGCTCCATGCAAAAAATGTTTTTCACACATGGGGTTTACATAATATTGATTGGCGGTCCGTCCTGGGTGCACCTTGACTTCCACGTTGAGTCAGCGGCGACAGGATGATCGGTGGATGCATGGAATTTACACACAAGCCTTTGACCAATTCAGAGGCTGCATTTGAAGGCCGATAACAATATAACACAATCAGTGAAGGCAATCACGGTTTGAAGGCTGCTTACAGTGCCCAAAAATGCAGAACTTTCTTTTGACAATATTCGAAATGCAAGTGTTTCATTTCATGCAATTTCAAGAGCTGAAGAACTTTGGAGCTCACGGTGTTTCAAATTGCTAGCAAGATTTCAATGTAGCCTCACTTCACTCATCTCCCCCTCCTCGAGTCTCTGACAAAATCCACGCCGCTCACTTAGCATGCTTGAGACGTACACGATGCGTAACATGCACTGTAAACAAGCAGACCGTAGCCTGGTTTATTGGCCAGTGTCCTTATTTGTACTTTGTCAGCCTCACGTCGTTTTTCTGTCTAAGAAATATTTTTGTACATTTCTATCCGAGTCTATGTTTGTAGCGTCCAACTCTGTCCAGAACCTTCCGGACACCTGATCGCTAACATGTAGCCATAAAGTATTTTAATGTATGGTTTAGGGCAGGAACATGTGACTCAATAGGGGAATCTCCCAAAAGCTTACACCCATCCCACGGACCAGAGGTTGACGCATTTTTTGGAGGCGCCCTTTAACGCATCACCTCCATACACACCATGTCAGTTGAGTCACTAAAAGGACTTTACCTCTAAAGTGAAGGACAGGACCACATCGGACTTGGACAGAGTGTTTTCATCCTCCTGGCCCATGTCGATGATGGAGGTGTTGTGCCCTCGCTTCAGCTTCTGGAGCTTGAACTCTCCACCCTTCGACACGGGCATGCTCTCCAGATTGGCCATCAGTTGGTTCACTGAAGACTTGAGCTCCTCAATGTACATAGCTTCCATGTCTTTGGACACAAACTTGGGGAACCTGCCTCCCTGAAGAGTGTCAGAAAATGTGTTTTTAGTGGTAAATTGATTGATTGAATTGATGATTGAATTGATTGAATTTGATTTTTGCCACCCTCTTCGATGTTCAAATCGGAACATAAATATAATGGGAGGTGTTTTTTTGTTACAGCTCTTGGAATCTTCTTAAATTGGAGAAGCATACCTAAAGCTGTGTTTAAACATATATACTTTTTTTTTCTTTAAAGAGGACAGTGCTGCTTTCCGTGGGTGGTAGGCTCACACCTTTTCAACAAATATGGTAGCTATGTAACAAAGGCAAAGCCCCTCACAGCGTCAAACTCACCCGTGCAATCTGGTCGGCCATCTGAAGACGACCATCCAGTTCTCTTCTTATCTGTGCAGCCTGCTCGTCCAAGTTGTCCAGCTAGAGAAAAAAATATATATGGGGAAATTCATTGAGGTCATTGTCAAGAAATATGCCATGCGGTCAGAAGATAAGTTTTGTAAAATAACAGTGCTTTATTTAAAAAAATAGATTGTAAAGAATGAAATAGTTTGTAGATCATCATTTAATGCTGCATTTCATTTTGTTGTGTTGCCCCCTCTGGTGTGCCATGTTGGCCACCAGGAGGCAGTATAATACAGTCTCGCAGACACAAACGAAGAAGAATAAAACTACTGTTACTTCTGCACATGACACAGTAACAGTTTGTTTTTTTTTATACCACTTGATGAAATTAAAATGGAGTAAATTGAACACCGTTATTTTTTCAGTATACAGTGATCCCTCGCTCTAACGCGGTTCACTTCCCGCGGCTTCGCTGTTTCACAGATTTTTTTAGTGCAGTTTTTTAATGCTTTTAACCCTTTAAATCAGAACGCGTCGGTGGTGCCGCGTGTCGACAGTCCAGTATTTCCAAAAACTATTAGAGTTATTTGTTGAAAACGTGAGGTTTTTTTTGTAATTGGGCCAGAAAACAGGTTTTGGTCTTTGATTTCATTGTATATATAGTTAAGTATTGTATAATAACTGTAAAAAAATAAAGTTGACTACTTCACGAATTTCACTTACCACTGGTTCTTTTTGGAACGTAACCCCCGCGATAAACAAGGGATTACTGTATATGGTCACTCCGTGGGGCAAATTTATACAAACCATCGCACACAACTCCAAACAGTAAACAGTGAAAGGACCTTGGTTACCACGGCGATGATACAATTCTCCAAAAGACCATATAAATCTATTAACCTAATGGAATGTGACACTGGTGTATGCAAATTTTGTTCGAGCAGAAAGTAATTCTATCCTCAAAACGACTTCTGTAAAAAGGTAAAGTACCCCCAGTACAACCCATTTGAGAGCTGCAGTTACCAAAAACGATCACACAAGCGAGTGATTGAAACAAATGTGGTCATGGAAACAGTGATGACTGATTGTATAGCTGGCTCGATTGTTGCGAGTGGCTGTCGTCAAAGCAGCACGTCGCGATGGCCAGTTTCAATTGAACAAATGACAATGAAAGGAAAATCCCTCACCGTCTCCCATGCACCACGCTGCCATTGCCATAGAGACCAGTGAAAGGCAGCGTTGTTATATTTCTTGTTGATTTGAGAGGCAACTGGCATAAAATACGATCATGAAAGTCAAGCTCAGACGACAAGAAAGATGTTTTGACTCCGATGAAAAACAGAGCGGTGGCACTCAACGGCTGAACAAGGTTAAGAGAAGCTGCAAGATTTGGCCCTGGAGGAATGAAAAGAAGATAAATTCATGCCTCCCGCTCATCAATAATGAATGGGGAGCTGGAATTAGCTGACGCGGGGAAATAGAGGAGAGAGGTCTGATGTCTTTCTTGCTGCCTGAATCTACGTTTTCATGCTTCGCTTCTTCTCGCTCTTGCCAAATGTGATTGTGCGCAGACACCAGTACTTTTGGGGAGGGGGGGGGCAGAGAAACAAATCTTGCGGCTTCGACACAGCGCCAAAAACATTTCTTACCAAGCAGTGTGGTAAAAGACAGCAACTTCACCTTCAGTTACCTTGGATTTAAAAAATCCTCGATTTTAACCGGACTTGTCTCCCGGGCTTCACCGCATTGATTCCTCCTGCTTTTTTTTTTTTTTTTTTTGCAAGAGAGGCCACTGATCTTGGTTGGGCTTCTTTTTTCAAGCCTTCTAGGCATTAACAATGGTTCAGATCTGATCTTAGACAAGACCTCGGTCCAGTGAACACAGCAAACATATCCTTTCCTTCTTCTGTTGTCTTGCAGGTGTCCACTACTGTATATTGTACTCATTACTGCTCCCAAAAGGACAGGTATTTTTTTTCTGTCACATGCAGTGTTGCCGATAGTAGGGAAGAATCGACCACTTTTTGGATGTTATTGTTCTAATGAGGGCTCCTTTGCGACAGAGACTACACAAGTTACTTCGTCATCCACGGGTACGCAACAAATTCTAAATATAGTAATAGAAATTCATTTTAAAACACAATATATATTTATTATGTGTACTATATATTTATTATATATACTGTAAGGGTATGGCTTAGCAGCTTGGCTTGGCCTCACTCTCTTAATACTTGGAAATGTATTTTTGTCATGTGTGAATTTGGCATTTTTATTTCTTGTCATATGCGACTACGAGATACTGTGTCACTGAAAATCAAATTCGGAATCGCCACAAAACCACTCTTGCTTTCATGTACTGTATTACTGAAGCATATTGGGAAAAAAAATGCAACATGAAATAAAAACACTCCAGCTATCAAATTCAAAGTGATCTGTGATGTTGTACAATTTGGATTATTTGGCAACTGAGTGCCATCTGAGTTGATGGTTTTGTTTTTTTCTGCTCCACTACGCACATCAAAAAGACACTCTCCACATGTTTTCGCGGTGACATCATGTCTGGCAGGTGGCATGTCCAACAGAGGAGAGTGAGCGTCAACTGTCGAGTGTGTAGACAGCGCAGGCCAGCGAAGGAGCACACTGCTGCATAACCCAGAGTTGTTATTTAGTAGAGCACGTAATCAGATTCTGCCACCAGCTGCAGGAAAATGTCTGCACTTGCACTGGCGGCACAGAGTGCTGTTGGACAAGCGACCCAGCATCATGCCGCGTAGAGTCTTCTTCGTCATGTCCATTATAAAAAATAAAATAAAAAAAAACAGCCACCCCCGACCTGACCCGCCGCTTTTCTGCCTGAGTGAGTGTCTCCCTTCCTCTCTGCGAGCCATCCTGCGTCGCCTGTCAAGACACTCTCACGAGTGGGGCGCGGCACTCATCCGACCCTCGCGTTCCCAAGTGAACTGCTCGTGCCACGCACAGGGAAAAAGCGGCAGTAAAAGCGTGCCTCAATAGTCTGATGCTGCATTTTGACTCCAATGTGTGCGTGCGCTTCCTCTTTAACTGAATTCGTTGGATGGATGGATGGATGGATGGATGGATGGATGGATGGATGGATGGATGGATGGATGGATGGATGGATGGATGGATGGATGGATGGATGGATGGATGGACTGACAATGCAGAAGAACATAATGATGGGTCAGCTTGATTTTTTTTTCCATCTCTTAACTTCAAGGATGCAAGTTCATTCCCCAAATAGTTTCAGCAAGATATGAACACTGGTACCAGTAATAAAGTACAAATACTTTGGTACTCTAATTAGGTTGACGTTGTTGATGTTTCAGGTATCCGTACTTAAGTACTTTCTTTTCTGCCCTACATATGAAAAGGATGGCTCTTTTGTCCAGAGGTTTAGTGGACTGGTGGAAGAGGTTCAGGTTGTATTAAGGGCCAGTAGTGGAAAGTCATGGAAGACAAATACTTTGTGATGGTAATGAAGTCGATTTTTCAATTATCTGGTCTCCATCCATCCATTCTCTGTACCACTTGAAAATTAATCTAGAAGAACTCAGACCTCTGTGTAGCTGAATTGTTAATAGAAGCGGCAAAAAGAAAAACTGCAGCTCAATATTGCTTTTCGTTTATCCACTTCCTGGTTTAACATGCAAAAGGTGAGATATTAACATTATAATGTGCCATTATTTTAGAGTGAACGAGTCTGTTGCTACTCAAGTGGCAAAAAAAAAAAAAAATACTGGAAAAAAAAAACATGGTTTGTTCTATTTGTCTCTTTGTTATTGAACAGGCGACTTTGCTCTTTATGGAGAATGACGTTTGTGCTCGAAATAGACCAATGTGACATTTGTATTACGGAGCAGGAAAGAATGGCTGCATGGTGACTCAAACAGTAAAAACAGAAACAATCAAATCAAAAATGGCCGCTGAGTGCCCTGAGTATTATTATAAAACATACAATACGTAGTGAAGCAGCAGGTCAAGCTTGGAGATCAGTGCCTGCGTGAAGCAACAAGCACCCGCTGCTGATCTCTCAACACCCCAATCTTTGCGGACCACCAACTCCTAAAAGGTCACGGATGTCAGCATGCTCGCGGGCTTAACGTGACAAGACAGGCAATCTCACGACAAATCAGAGCCACTAAAAGGCACGTCCTTCGGCCGACACTGCAGTTGCGGGCCAGGCGAACAGCGGGTTAAAGGTAAGGAAGCGAAGGCACGAGATCAGGAGCTCGACTGATGTTAGAGGCCCCCATACCCATCCACCCCCCACCCCAGATGAATACACGGACCTTAGCAGCAGACAGCCAGGACAGCCACAGGCGTTTTCATGTGCACAACAAAGGACGGAGCGGGCAGATTGAGAGCTGAATGGCACCAGGATGAGTTCAAGCATCTGCTCTATATTTAGACCTGCAATTTGTGTGCGTGTTTGTGTGTCTGTGGTGGGAAAACGAGCTTCGCTTGTGAGTGTACGAACAAGATGCAGAAATGGGTGACCAAAAAAAATGTCAGCTCACGATCAGAGACTATTTCTTCCTGTTTCTCTCTTCATTTTGAATTGGGTTTACTTTGTTTCATGATAGCAACAACGCTAGTTACGCTTTGACGTTGCGAGATGCAAACCCACTAATTCCTTTCTGTGAGACGTCTCCTCTAGCCTAAAGAGGAAAGTGATGTACAGCTGCGTGTGTGTGTGTGTGTGTGTGTGTGTGTGTGTGTGTGTGTGTGTGTGTGTGTGTGTGTGTGTGTGTGTGTTACACAAATGGTTCAGCGTGTGTGTGTGTGTTGAGGTTTAACGGGGTTGACTTGTCAAACGTGTCCGACGCATCGGTTCAAAATTACCTAGTGGGGTTGAGGTGAAATTTGGGTATATTTGTTCCATATATTGTTCGTGTGTGTGTGTGTGTGTGTGTGTGTGTGTGTGTTATACAAATGGCTCATTTTAACGAGCCAGGGCCTCACGATGGCTCTCAGGGTCTGACTCATTTAATCACCTTAAGAATGGGGAAACGTTCTGCTGAGGAAGTGAGAGCATAAATATTGATTATTAAAACACTTAAAGCTGCTGATTAGAAAGTTTGCACGTGAAAATACTAAATAGAGGAAAAAAAGAGTCGACTGGTACCAGATTGACCTATCTCTTAGTAGTAGTAAAAGTGGTAGATATTATTTTATGTGATTTTTTTTTTTTTTTTTTTTTTTACATGATTTAGACTATTTTATGTACGACAATTCAAGCGCCAAGATAATTTGCCATAGTCCAACAACATTGATGTGATTTGTGGTGTACTTACCGGTAATTTATAGAAAGTGCGAGGAAAAGGAAACATCGGACATTCTTTCTTTTTTTTCCTCCATTATAAAGATTATAATCAGTTCAGCTTTAATTTTCATTGTCTGTCATGTTAATTTATTGCAGGCTTCTTATTGTGAGTAATATTGGAGTTTAGTCTTGAAAAGGGCTAATTTTACAAACGGCAGATAGATCCACTGAGATTGTAAACATACGGTGTACTTAATACTTTGTGTGGGGTGTCCAGTGAGCATCGTGTCTATTTCAGGCTATGTTTGGTTGTCCTTGGTGGCAACGCAGCACAGGAAAAGAAAAAGGGAGCCACAAATAGTGTCACGGCCAGTGATCACACTAGTCGAGCATCCTGCAGAAATCCAGACAGCTCCTTCCTCTCCGCTATTTGGGTGCAAAAAAAAAAAAAAAAAAAATGTAAATCCCCAATGATAATAAACCCCTGATGGCCTCTGAATCCCATACAATCTACCAAACCGTTCCATTAAATCCCAGCAGCTGTGAGCCGCGCTGACGAAATTGCCTCCTAGTGAGGATTTTATCATTTAGCAGGCAGGGACAATTGATAGCGACTGGTTGCTTACTGAGGGGATGCTGAAAGTCGTCATTAGACGGGTCTAATATATTCATTACGGCTGCAAATGGATTAAGAATACGCATGTAAAAAAAAAGCAGGGGTAAGCATCTAGTAAGAGACGTTTTAAATTGTTTTTTTTGAATGTAAATTCTGTTCCATTTATCGATTTTCACAATTGGAAATGGGAAGTACTTCCAAGGGTGAATTAACTATGTTCACTACTTCAGCTTTCTCATATTGACAGGTCCCGGTGTTACTCTGTGGAGCCTTTGCGGATGTTCTGGATGCAGATTTGTGACCTCATACTATCAACTTTGCTGGTAGCTCATCCAAACTAGGTTAAGCATCATCAAAGGCATTCGAAAAGAGGTTATGGAAATGTCTCACAGCGCAGCAGTAGAAACATCAAGTTAATGAAGCCCACTGAGGAACAGAGCCCCGTATTGATCTCATCCAAACAAGACGTTCGGACAATAGTGAGCGATTTGTTTGATTTCTTCAGCAACGGCAACGCTCACAGGACATTCGGATTGATTTATTAACTTTTAAGCCTCATTGACCTGCTGGCGTTATCAAGCGGTAGGTTTTGATGCGTTAAATAAACATGTGCAAGAGCGCCAGAGGTTTCTTCTAAATACAGCCGTGATGAGACTTTTAATCGCGCTGCTGAAGAAGGAATACATTAGTGCTGCTTTTAACATTCCCACAGAGAGCCGTAAAGCAGAAACGACAGCAGGATAAAAGAGTTATATGTGACATAAGTCCCCAGTCTGTAATCTCAACATATCTCCCCCCAAGAGTGAAGAATTGGACATTACCAGATACAGATAGTTGACAAATTAAAGCAACAGTAAGGGATTTGTTATTCTTATAATTTGCTTTAGGGCTCCCTCAAAAGTGATTTGCAGTCTACTTTGAATGCACCCAGGCAAACACAAATCACCAGTCGTAAATGAGCGTGGGTGTGCTACAAAGACATGACCAGAAGCTAAAGAGGCCAAGCTAATAAATGTCGGTGCTAAATGCAAAGAGGACGGTTTGTGTGTTGTAACATCATGTCTTGAAATAAACAATGCCATGCTTTTTCATGTGTGGCAAAGTTTGTACAAACATTGCGTAAGCTAGCACTTAAGCTAACACATTGTGGGAGCGTTCATGGTTCACGGTACCAATTTTATAGCTCACCAAAGTGGTTAGTAGTACTTTAGTGTCGTGAGTCAAAGTTGCGATGGCAATGAGAGATGCTATTCTAATTATTAAACAAGTTAAAACGGTTTGGAAGTTGTGATGGGGCAATTTCAGGGATGCATTATTATGCATTAGTGGAAAAACGAGAGTTTTATGACATTTCTCAAGCAGTTTATGTTCAAGAGAGTTATCAGATTTTCATGCAGCCATCCATTTTCGAATCCGCTTATCCTCACGAGGGTCGCGGGCGTGCCAGAGCAGATCCCAGCTGTGTGGGGGCAGTAGGCGGGGGACACCCTGAACTGGTTGCCAGCCAGTCGCAGGTTATTAAATTTGTTCTCAAGATATTTTCAACACTTTAAATTGATTAGTCACATATAAAAATAACAGCACGCGGGGACACACCAATACGTTGTGAGAAGATTTGTCAAATAACATTCAATTGACTGTATTTGGAGATTTCCACAAAGATGATCGATTTCAGGGTCCCCAAAACGTCTCATGAAAGCAATTCAATTAAAAGCCATTAGTCATGTTTTAATCCTTATTCACGCGCTTAAATAAACGTTTAAGTGCTAATCTGCCATGATTTTAATTCAATGATCCCCCTTCCTTTTTCATACAGTGAACTACTCCATCTTACTGCACATGTGTGGACTTGATTCAAGAAGGAAGCAGCAAAATGAACTTTTTGACTTGTGGAGCAGAAGAGATGATAAAGTCAAAGGAAATCCAACTCCCCCAGCCCCCCAAATCAAAACTGCAAAAGGGTTTCAACCTTTTTCACGATCAAAAATGTGCATAACCGTCAACAGCAAAAGCTAGACGCTTTTATGTATTAAGTACTGCTGTCAATGTCAGCCAAGGACAATACAGTGAAGAGCAAGTGGAGAGTGATGGTTTTCATCACGTAGACTGCTCAAAATGTATAATATATACATATTTAATAATATGTACAGTATATATTAAATGTTGATTAATGTTCTTATCAGTCACAATAAAAAGCATCAATATGGTTCACCTGTTGGATAATAGGTCTTTCCAAGAATTGTAAGGACTTAACTCATTCACTCCCAAAGACGTTTTTAAACGTCTTTTCAGACTTGGTCTAGAATTGGCTGGTATTGTTAATCTAGCACAGGAAAGAGAGGAGAATCCTCTCAAATTCACACTTTTTAGTTGCTGATGGACAATATTCTAAATATTTGGTGATAAATATTCACTGGACAGGAGAAAGGGAATTTATAAAAATGGTGATTTAACTAGAGTGACTTAAACTGTCAGATCATAGTAACAGATTTGAAAAGATGTGGAGGGCCCCATGACTGGGTTTGCCTCGGGCGGCCAAATGACGAGCTACGCTCTTTCCAGTTAAGCAACTGTGAGGTCACCATTTTGTTTTTTATACACGTACAGTATAAAAACTTTATGGATGTGGAATATAAAATGAAATAAAACAAGAAGTTGCCCCCCCACCCCTTGCAACCACGGTACAACAGTCTCCACTCTTCTTAGACTACTGGAGTGTGGCAGTGCAAAGTTCCTTGAGTAGACATCGCTGATGTTGAAATTGAGATAAGGCCGAATGCATCACCATCACTGTTACTCACAAACATGTGCGACGGGGTTGCGGATAATGTTCTCAAGGTATTCCATGACAGACAGCATTCATGTGTTTATGAATGTGGTGGAAATTAACTTCTTGTATAATTGGAGCTTAAACGTACCTGGCAAGCTTGGTAAAGAAGCTGGTGCTCAAATTTTTTGATACCCAGGATATTCTGGAACATCTCGTACAGCTGGTCCTTGCTCAGGATGAGCTCGGAGGCGGCGCTGGCCGTCATACGCTGTTGCGCCTTGCGCGGATCCTCGTCGCCGCGGTAGATGGTGTCAAACTTCGCCATCCAGGAGCTGAGCACCGTCTCCTTGCTCAGGCCGTCGATCTCCGGGAGGCTGCGGACACGCTTCTCGATGTGCCTCTTGAACACATCCCTGAAGTCGCTCGCTGAGAAGCCGCCGCTCTGGACCATTTTAGCCACACGGTCGCTCTTTAAGAACACCTTTGTTGTAAGAGACAGCAGATAAGTATGTAGGATTAATGGTTACTGCAGTGAGCTGAATAGCGGAGTGTACAGTCATTACATTGCTCCTCCGTTGGAATATGACCCCCCCCCCCCGTGTATCATTTTGTCCCTAAGGATAGGGCTTTTTCATCAAACTTAATTTCATGCAACAATTGGCAAAGTGTAAATTGCAATTTACCAGCTTGGCTATTTTCGGGACACGAGACTTTCAATTGTGCTTTCACCCACTTGCACATGTTAATACAGAAGAGATGCTGAAGGATGACGAGGAGGACACACTTTGATCGTCTACAACACAGATATCACATTCTAGGCCCCCCCGGGCCAAATGAAAGTCACGTCATCATAAAATGTTGCCCACTAAAGCACATAAAGTGTGGACTTCATGTTTCTCCCTTGGTTTCTTCCTTTTGGCTGAAACTCTGTAACAAAATTGCTTTTTTTTTTTTTTTTGCTTTTAACAGATACATCAAGTTTTTTCTTCTTTCAACGTAAACCTAACAATAGTTGTACACCTACATATTTGCATGCCAAAATTTTCCATTGCTCCTGATTTAAAATTCAGTCGTTAACAATTTTGGAATTTGAATATTTATCGTTAGCCCAGTGGCCTGTATAACAATCAATTGAAAGGGCTTTTTACACTAATCTAATAACATACACTCACCCTCTGAGAGAAATCAGATCTACGAGATGGCTCACGTCAATAATGAGATTGACATCCCTGGACTCTACATTGTACATTTACCGGTAGTTGTTCTAGCTGTTAACAAGTAACCCAATTTTATAGACGACACGCAGGGACGTTCAGCAACATGGCCGCCGACTACTGACAGCCTGACAGTGACAGAACAAGATGACAGCGCCAATGAAACAACGAAGCCCACCGCTTTGTCATTAGGACTGTCACAATTTGTTCTCAGCGTCCGATGTGGCTGAAAAGTAACCGTGCGGGCCATTTGGTACACGGCGGTCATATACAAACAACAAAGCTTTGGTGCCATTGATTCGTGCCGAGAGAGGCTTTTAAAGGCACACGAGTCTTTAGTAAAATCAATGATTTAATTAATTCTTGTGTCTCCCACTCATTCGTGCAGTAAAATAGAACACCTACACCCACTGAAAGAATTTTGTCAATCACCAGGAGCAATTCAATTTGCGATGGGGGGGAAAAAAACGCTCTTGAGCAACGTAACATATGATGATTGTACTCCATATCCTTTTTTTTTTTTTTTTTTTTTTTTTGTGCGTGGTAGCAGCCCGTGAGTGAGTGCACCCGCACAGTCCATTACGCTCCAATGCAAAAAAACGTCATGAAAAATTCAGTCTTTTTACGGCGGTAATATTTTGTAAAGGTGCCGAACGGTGCTGAATCATAATGACAGCATGTTGGTAATCTTTTGCCTCTCTCGCGCAGCGGAATAAGGTTAGCACCATTTTAAAAGACCTCACAACTGCAGCGCAGCTCGACACCAAAGCAAATTGATGGGCATCTCTTTGTTTTTTGTGTTTTTTTTAAACCCAGTGGGACTAAACATGGCACAGGTGAGTGGCGCAGGAATGAGGAAGAGGAAGTCAACCAAAAATTGAAATGGTTTAAATCACAGTATGAATATAAGAAAATCGACCTAATCCCCTTCCCCTCTCGAAAAGATTATTTCCTCCCCCAAAATGCAGATTATAAGTAAGCATTAATTCTTTCATTCCACAAGACGTACTTGTACGTCTTTTTAAAATTAGGCCCCGCCTACCAAGGACGTACTGATACGTCTAAGTCTTTTTTTTTTGCGTCATAGAGAGGAGGAGGGTCTGATGCAATCTGTGAATGAGAATAAGCCGTTTGCCTTGTAAATTGTGTAAAAAAGCGACCAGTAGGTGGCAGTGGTGCCTCACATGCTTGAAACGCATGCTTTTACAAAAAGCTCTTTTTCTCCGTTTTTTTGCCCAGGAATCGCCATTTCCATGAAACTTCGCCATTTTGTAATGCCGATTGCTGAAGAATGGAAAAAGATAGAAACAATTTTTTTTTCTGCCGAAAGAAGAGAGTCCAAACTTTATTTTGGTAGGCTCCATGTTTAAATAGCATTAGAACCAAATATTCTGTGGGCCTGGCAAAATCAGTCAAAATCCAGGAAAACGCTGGGATTGATGAATGGTGGGAAATAAAAGATATGATTTCTCTTGGTATATATATTTTTCTCAATGTGACAAAAAAACAGGCATTTGAATGAGGGTGTCTTTCATGCAACAGTAAACAGTCGTAAGATCTAATCACAAACCCAATGCACAGTGTAAACGGCACAACCTTTTCTGTACCTTTGCTTGGTAAATCTCTCCTCTTCATCAAAAGTTGTCATGTCTTCGTTTTGGCGCAACATTTTCATTTGATTTGATTGGGAACGTGTATCTTGCGCTGGGATCGCCTTGTGTAAATTGTCGACTTAACCCATGGCAACAATCTTCCGTCTTTGTGTTCATATCGGTACCATGATTGGCTGGACAGCACTGATTTGTCAGCTTGTTTTTTTCACCTGTTCATGTATGTATGTATGCATGTATGTATGCTATCTATCTATCCCTCACCCTCATTTACATGAACATACAGTGTAGCACATTACATCCGTCCTTCACATGGAGGTGAAGCTATAATTAACCTCTATGGCCATCTACAGACTGTCAAATGAGTTATCAGCAGTTTTTGCATTATGCCTTTGCTTGTTTTTTGTTTTTTTTTGTTGTTGTTTTTTTTCCCATTAAAGAATTGACCTTTAAAAGCCGCGATCTGTCATGTCTCCAGCATGCACGGTAATAATCATGACTTGCTTCATTATGTGGATTGAAGAGGGTGAGGCTTGGAAAGACGGCTGTGTCAGCCACATGGTCTGACTCATAAGCTGCACAGTGAGAAACCTCAGCCACCATTTTGTCACTCAGCCGCGTAGATTTCAGCATTTTGACATGGAAACGGGAGCAGTTCTGCGTGGTTGGGGGGCTTGGATTTATCGCCCAAAAACCACGCGGCTTGACTCATTGACAGGCGAAATTGCTGAAGCCAGCCACATTTTTTTTTTGCACTTCCACAATCAGTAGAAATTTATATGGACATGTATTGAGTCAGTGATGAATTCAGAAAGTCACCCAGTCTCTGCTCTGTGGGGAAAAAAAAATGGCTGTGATTGAGCGTGCGCTGCTGTGATGATGGTGTGCTGGTACCTCATAGTAGCTCTGCACGGCGTTGATGAAGGCTTCATCGGCCACAATTTGCGTGTCGCCGTTCAGGAAGGCCTGGAAGCGATCCTTGGTCTGCTGAAGCTGCTGCTTGGTTATCTGTTGGGGCAAGGATACACAAAGGACAAGGCGGCTTTAAGGCGAGATTAAACAACACTATCCAAATGGGTGCACATTAGCTGAAACAATGCAATCCGGCAACTTTTTATATGTTCTTGTCAGACCAGAACTTGGCTCAGCACTCCCAGGCCAGCTGGGAGATGGAATCCACCAAACATCATCCACATTTGGCTTGACAAGCTCTGCCAGTCTGCATCTTTCAAGACAGGAGCTAATGTGTACCCACAAAATACACCAAGAGGCAGCTCCCGGCAGAAAGTAGAAAAAGCTCAATGACACGCTACCAAATCTCTCTGCATCCAAAAGACATCACCCGGACAGATAGCAAAACAGCCCGTCTTGGTTGATTGGATCCGCAATCTCCTTCTTTCAGGCACCAGGCGCAGGTCATGACCTCAGGTGCAAGCGGGAGGAAAGATTGAGTGTTATATCGAGAGCTTTGGTTTACGGCTCTGCTTCGCCTTTGCCGCCACTGCTGTGATGTAAAGCCTGCAGCAGCGCAGCCACACTCACCAGCAGTCAATCTTAAAATCGTTGTTTTTTTTCTATCATCCCTCATGAATAAAACTCCAAATGTTGCACACTTCTTCCACTATGATCACACCCGTGCCGCCCCCCAACACCTCCTTGAGAGGAGAGTTGCTTCAATGGATATTGTAGGTCACCGTCCGGAAACAAGAATGCGGTACACTGATAACACTGAAATAGAACCTTAGTGGTATCGATTCATCTTTTCTAAACTCTGTTGCACAAACAAGTTGTCTTTGTAGCATCTGGAAATGAAATTCTTCATTAAAGTTTGATCAAACTTCACAAGAGCTCTGTGAGATTTTTTTATTTTTTAACTTGTAGCAGCAGACAAATTTACGTAAGGAAGCCATTTCAGGAACCAGACAGTTTTGGATGACAGATCATCAGAATTACCATGGAAAATGGGAATCTCACTTAACTGGTCCAAAAATGATTACCGGTATGCATTTACTACAAGTTATATATCTTTGGTTATCTATCTATATGCCAGCGATGTATAGTGGCAGGCAGAACAATTCAACGCTCTTCCTCCAGATGGCAGAAGGTACAATTAACTCAGAGGTCACCAACGTGCAAGGCACCAGGTCGCAACCAAGGACCGACCACATGACATTAAAAATAGCTCACGGGTGATGGGACATTGTAATCTTCAAGGATGTTTTAAAAGTGATTTGAAAGTGTAAACATTAACAGTTCATTCAGTGTGGATCAAACTTCCCTTCGCATTATCAGTCCCAGAGAAGTAGCTCTCACTTTCAAAAAGGCCGGTGACCCCTGAATTAAAGTCTTTATCCACCTGTGGCTATTCACCGAAGATTTCAGAAAAATTCAGATATATACTTTTGAGACATTATTATTTGGTGGCTGGTGTATTGTTTTTCTCATGTAAAACATGCGCCTTGAATCGATAAATGTTGGGAAACACTGGATGGCTTGGAGTAAAAAGAGGTTTGCATATTGGACATTAGCAATGTGCTACATAATTCATCCATCCATCCATTTTCTGATCCGCTTATCCTCACAAGGGTTGCGCCGCGTGCTGGAGCCTATCCCAGCTGTCTTCGGGTAGTAGGCGGGCCACACCATAAACTGCATGCCAGCCAATCGCAGGGCACACACAGATGAACAACCATCCGCGCTCACACTCATGCCTCGGGACAATTTGAGTGCTCCATGAACCGGCCATGCATTGTTTTTGGAACATGGGAGGAAACGCGCTAACCCGTCGACCACCGGGCCGCCGACTACATAATTCACTTGCTAAAATAATATTATTTAAAGAGTGATCAAATGAATGCAGGCACTTCACTTTTTCTTCAATGTTGAGATATTTTATAGGCGCATAAAGAACCTAATTAAAATAATATGCGCCTCTGATCTCTTCTCCCCTTTGTTTGACCTCATTCAAGTCGAAATGTCCTTGAATTGATTTCACACGTGCTAACAGAGTCAGTGACCCAAAAGTCAATCGAGCGACCATCTCCCTGTGACAAATGTCGTCTACACTTCAAGCTGTTGTGTATGCCATACAAGCACAGTGTGTGTGTGTGTGTGTGTGTGTGTGTGTGTATATATATATATATATATATATGTGTGTGTGTGTGCGCGCGCGCGTGTGTGTGTGTGTGTGTGTGTGTGTATGTGCTAGCAAGTGACAGACTTTGGTGTGGGAGGAAGATGGAAAAGCATTCCATATCATGTGCCTGTGAGGCAATCTCGATAACATCTGCGTGCCTGTCACCACCCACCAACCGGTCTGGTTTAAAAAATAAATTAATTAATTAAAAATAAAAAAAAATGAGAATGATCCATAATCTGTCAGCAGCAAAGCTAATCATAGGATGGATTTTTTGAGACACTGCCATAATACTAACAACTCCATCCATTCATTTTCTGGATCATTCTCATTATTGTCACGAGTGAGCTGAAGCCTGTCGCCCAGCTAACGATGGGCGAGAGGGCGCATCGGATTTTAAGGTGCGCTGTGAGCTTGTAAGAAAACGGAAGGCTTTTAGGCGCGCCTTTAAGTGCGGAAAATACGGTATTCAAATAAAATTAATAAATCAAAAATTTTAAAAAGGCTAAAATTGGGAGGAAAAACGTTTTTTGCCCAATTTAAAAGAGCTAATATCGGCTGATTAATCGATCGGACCCTAGTTAATATTCACTGTAAATTCACACGGTGTGCCGCAACTACACTAATAAAGTATGATGAAGGTAATGTTATGCCAACAACACACACTGCAGTGCAATCACAAACCAGAGTGGATTACAGTTAGGGTTCCAAAACGTTATTTGGCTGGGTTGAACCGTAAATACGGCAACTGGCAGAATAACTGCCATTCTCCACCATTTTAAAGGCCTCAATGTGTAAGAAATGTTGCTCTTAGCTGGTTGAGGCAGCAGATTGCCGGTTAATGATCGTTGGCTTCCAAAATAAGGTAAACATTTTTGTGCAAAACAATTCCCAAAGCGACCTAATATGAGTCAAAAGAGTCGTTCAGCAGTCAGCCGAAGTGGTTAGTTGCTTTGACTTTCTCCGCGGGCTGTGTAAATGACATTAAAATAAATCCTTAAAATATGGAACTTTTTTTTTTTTTTTTAATGTAATCATTAGCTTTGGCCCTTTCGTGACTTGGCCGTTGACAGACTATTAATCTCTGTAGCAACATGATCAAACATCGCCTGTACAAAAGCAAAAGACTGCTGATTGGGGAGCTGCACTGATTAGTGACCATATTGATGAGCGAGGGAAAGCGCCTACGTTTTCATCTGATTCCACATTCCCAAGACATATTTTCCCTACTTGGCGCATATTGATTCCCTCTCTATGGCTGTTATCAAGATTGCAGCAGGCAGGGCGCAATGATTCATTTGCAGCAGTGAAGTAAACATTAATCACCCCCCGAGTATCAATAGAGAAGCCAGGCAAGGGCATTATGCATGGAAGGAAACTTTATTACTCTACAAAACTACTTGACTGGATGTCTTCGCCCAGATGCTGTTTGTGACTACGTGAGTCACCATGACCTATTTTGAACATTTAGTCACATTTGAATTAAATTATCCACAGGTACAGTCGATAGTGTACGTTCGTGTAATTTCACGCCATCCCTTCAGCGGAAGGGTAAGCAGCCGAAGGTGGTGCTTATTCTATTTGACATCTGCATATGATTTTTTTTTTTTTTTTTTTTGGAAATTGGATGCAGAAGCAAATTAAATTGAACGGTGCACCGTCCCGTGCGCCTTAATCCAACCCTAGGTGCTTATCAATTTATCTTTTATATTGCGCATGACATAGTTGTCCTTGCAACGCTTTGAACGAGTGGATAAATTATCTAAATGACTAAAGCGTATAACCCAGCCCGGGTGTTGTCATGTGTTGAATTATACTTATAGTAAGCTTCCACTTGAAGTTACATCGCATTGAAAGTTGACGGCGTTTTCCTAAATTAAGAGGCTGCAGTTTAGTTTGTATAGTCTGTCCATCAAGTTTCATTTATTTGTGTGGTGTTTCACAGAAGTAGGTGCAAATTTAATTCGACAATAAAATGAATTAAGGGCCGGCAAGATAGCAGGAACCTGGGCGGGAAATACAACCATAAAGCTTTCTAGAAAACTCGATAAATGATACACAACCAACTTCATCTCAAACTATTGCCTCATAATATACACTGGAGATAAAAGTCAATATCCACAGCGAGATTAATTATTCATCACGACATTCGATATGGCTGAATGAGATTGAAAACAAGAGTTGTATTGAAAAGTTTGACCTTACAAAGGTCAATTAAAAGAAGAGTTTGCTGTGTTGTGTTGAAAAAGAAAAGAAAGGTGTTGAAAAAGGTGTTGGATGGTGCACATGTGACTGCAAAAATCTGCGTGACCATTCTCATCTGGTTTGAGTGTTTACCCCAAAAACATCAAACCGGAAGCATTTCGTGTTCAGCGGTACTCCGTCATGAAGTCATGTTTGTAATGTCGCATGCCTGGGGGCGGTTCTTTGGGCAAAGACGCGTGGGGGGGTGTGGCTGGGTGGGCGTTTGTGAGGGTGAAGTGAAGCTACGTTCAGATCTTGCTAGCAGCTTTGAGACTACATACTGTAGTCCAACTTGAGTGAAGCTTTGTTCGGACTGAAAAGTATAAAGTTTCAAAAGAACTCTAAAAGAGAAGAGAGTTTGGACAACATTCTGAATCCACATTATTGCTCACATTCCGGCTGCCTTTGATTCCTTTCTTGGTTTTCAACACAAAGCGCATCAGTCACGATCCACGCGAGGCATGTGCGCAAACAGCGCGAGTACATGACAGCTGCACAAAGTCAAATACAGCAAACCCACTGCCATGAAGCCATTGTGGTCACAGAACTACAGAAACGCAAAGACAGGTGCTCAGGCTATTCTTCTCCCCTGGGCAGACGCGTTCACGTTCATTTGCAGCAAAAGACACACAAATGCAGTATTGTGTGAGTAAACGGCACTCGTCAGGGTCAGCAAACAGCCAGGTGTGTGCTCTGCAGACACACAGCAAGCAGGTCGCGTGTCCACATCCTCCGCTGCGCTGTCATACCACAAGTTGTGGCGCCGCCGAAGCTCACAAGAGAACACGATGTTCACCACCAGCTAAGCCGTTTCTCGTCGCAGACATCCATTATCACACCACCCACTCCCTCACAGCACCAATCCTGCTCGGCCCCGGCCTTCAGTCATGCAGTTAGCGAGCAGAAAATGAGCCCTTACACAACTATGACATAAATGACATGGACATGTGAACTTCCCGTGGTTTACAGACTGAGATCAGCAGGGCACTTTGAAAAGGTCGTGGCAAAACGGAGCTATCAAAACTGTCTGGGGGAAGGACATCAAGAGGTTGCAGATGACTTTATGATTTAAAATATTTACAGTATATTAGAACCCCACATTGGGTGTTTGTTAACGTCTGACATCCCTTAGCTATGTTACCTAATGAAGGTCTTATAAAAGCATCATTTTAAAATAATAAAACTGGGTTGGACATTTAGAAGGTTTATTCAAATGCCAGGCTTGTGATCAGAAAAAAATGAGATGGACTGAGACGGACCCATCATTTCATTTTTTTCAACCTGTAAAGTGACCTTTAACATGTACAATAAATTGAGATAATGGGATTGCAAAAATGTGCACACCCCCTTATAAGCCCGGATGAGGCTATGTTCAGAATTAACCAATCACATTCCAGCTCATGTTTTTTTTTTTTTGGTCAGAAGCCTGGCAGCTAAGTGTGAACACAGACTGCAGTCATGATTCCTGCACAGCTTGGTCATCTCTATCCTCTGCCTTTAAATAAAAGTAATGTTTCACGTCACATAACTTGGGTGAATATCTCGCCGCTTGTGATAGTGGCCATTAGCGTCATCGTGAAGTACAAAAACTATTTTATTCTGACATGACATTTATGACGAGGAAAGGGAAGGCAGCAGTTGCAAAGATGATTCCAGCTTGAGGCAAAATGCACAAAAGAATGACGCACGTTCTCACACATTCATCAGAAGACTTAATTTTATCAAAGCAATTACTGCAGTTAGACAAAAGATCATTTCACACGGGAAGGAAGGCCACTTCTTTGGCGCCCTTCATAATCACACGTTGATTTTGCACATTTATGTCATGGATAAATTATCAGCACAAACATCTTGTTTACGCACTCAGTTTCTTTTATTGCCGTGTGCCAATTGCAGTCGTGTCCCTTTTTAACATTTTTACTGAGAATCATCAGTGAAAAGATGGAATTCATAAAGAATTCAGGTTGCAGATAAATGATGACTTTGGTATCTTATAATTTGCATGTCACATAGTTGCTCGAATGCCTTCGGGTCAAGGGCAGACTTCAACCAAGACCAATCCTTATTAGGATCAGCACTCAATTACTTCGCAGACACCCACCTTCTGTATGTGACTGAAAGATGCGCGCGTTAAAAATTTCCATAAAAGTTCATAGAAACGAGTTGGAAATCCAGAAAAAAAATTGGCTTTATGCAGATTCTGAACTAAACGCACTTCCTTTGGCTAGTCCTTCCCAAACATTTCATCCATCCATCCATCCATTTTCCGAGCCGCTTTATCCTCACAAGGGTCGCGGGGGGTGCTGGAGCCTATCCCAGCTATCTTCAGGCAGTAGGCAAGGGACACCCTAAACCAGTTGCCAGCCAATCGCAGGGCACACGGAGACCAACAACAATTTGTATCCGTGTCATGCATATGAAACTCCGAAGCCGCAAGCCTTCCTATGAACCCATCTGCCTCTAAATTCACAAGACAATGTGGCTACTGTATTTTTCCTAAGTGAGTATGCGAAATGCTTGTGGTGGTCTTGTACAACACACGCGACACATTGTACATTTCAAGCGGCATGTTGCCATGGCATCATCCATTCATCACAGTGCAGTAAACAGCATGGTTTCCCTCTCTTTGTTGATGATCTATACTAAGAACACGAGATTAGGTTTTGTATACAGTCACAATTTCGAGAGGAAGATTGACAGGAGAGTGCGGATTAATCAGTCAGGACGGACATACTAACTGACCTTAAGGTCCTTTTAAGCTTTGTGGATTTGCTCAATCATGAAACAATGTTTTATTCTTGTCAGCGTGTCAAGGTTGGGCAGGGGGAAAAAAAAAAAAAACATTGCAGCCGACGTCTAACATTCAGGAACACGTGGGCTCTGCTGGGACATAAAGGTTTAATTAACACGTGCGCAACGGAAATAGAAATCAACCAGTGCAGAGCGAACGCCAGAATGTGAGCTGCAGCATTCGAGCCGGCGCCCAGATGCACTTGCAGGTTGTGTGAGGGATGAAAAGAGAAACACCAAATCCTAAATTGTCCTGCAGAAAGCTCCCCGGGGCAACATTTTCATTTCGATTGCTTTTTTTCTACTAACAACAGTGTCCCGGTGTGTTCAATTCATCAGCTACTGCTGTTTTATCACCTGAATCATGAAGGCAAAAGTTCATCTACCGCTGGCAGAGTTGGAAGCGAAATATTTGTAAAGT